GACAGACAGACAGACAGACAGACACACACACAGACACACACACACACACACACACACACACACACACACACACACACACACACACACACACACACACACACACACACACACACACACACACACACACACACACACACACACACACACACACACACACACACACATACACAGAGGAAATAAAATCCATAAAAGTTCATTACCCATAATGAACAAATACACAAAGGATAACCTAAAAACAATAGTAACTTCTGAGAGGAACATCAATCACGCACCTGTCGTAGCCTACGAGACCTCATGGGAGATGGCAGGTCCTGCAGTGGCATACCATCCACCAAGAGGAATCCTGAATTCTGGAGCCGTGTGAGCTCTGTCTCGAAGGTTTCTGATTGAGTAGAGAGACAATATCATCATTTGACAGAGTGGATGATATGACCGAATAAAATCATATGCCTAATCTCATAAGCTCTCATCTGAGAGAAATGTTTCCTCATTATATATCAATGACTGTGATCTAGCTATTGCAGACACTATAATATCAGCATATTTCCATTCACTCATGAGCATATAACAGGTAAAGATTAAACTACTTTAAAGGAAATGAGCAAAATCAAAGCTGCAAAAAATAACATTCACAACTGCAATTACTATACACAGCAACTACAAAACACTTTTAAAATATCCTAAAAAGTGCAACTTGAGAAGCAAAGGAAAGTGCAAGAAGGAGTATGAAACACTAAAAAGCACGTCAAATACCTACCCACAACAATGATCAGGGACTCATGGTGCACTACCTCCCCAGATCCTGCAGACATTAAGTCTTCAACTCGTACATCTAACACAGCGATGTCATCCTCTTGCTGTTGTGTGCAAAGGGTTTTGGAAGGGCTAAATAACTTATTTTCTCATGTCTCTTAGAATTCAATTTTAAAAAAATGAAACTAATATTCATGTACTTTCAACATCAATGTCTTTTTATGATAAAAAACAATATGTATGATGAACAAATAAAAGGAGTAATTAAATGTCTCTTAATCTTCTTTTCCTTATATCAAAATAAAGACATCATGTATAATCTATTCTTTTATCATGAAGCCAGACAGCAAGACAACTTCGAGGTGACTTACGGTGCGTTGGTAAGAGTGTCTGACCGAGTCAGCATGCATAAGGGTGAAGGCCACATCTTGGTCATACTTTATACAGTTATGTACATATTCATACTCTCCAAGGACAGTCTCCCCTGATAAGTAGTCATCCACCCCTCGGACCTGTGAGAAGCAAGCGACCCGCGCTTTCAGAAGGTGTTGTGACCTGGATGCAATCTGTGTGAGCTACAACATATCTGACAAGGTGTCTACTCTCCAGGCTTGTTGCTGAGAACTGTGTACAGTACCTAAAGTGAGTCACACTCAAATGTAAGACTACATCAATTCTCTACAGACTAGTTGGGTTTCCTGGTTAAATTCTAATATCCTCATTACTTCAAATAATATATGAAAGTCCAATTTTTCTTTCTAAAAAAAAAAAATTCCTTTTATATTACCTTCAGCATGTAGTCTGCTGATTCTCCTGGCAACTCAAGGGTACACACTGTGTGCATCACAACGTGCTCTACACTTGAATCCACTGAGAAAAAATAAAAATCATCAGCTTTACATAACCAATAGTATATATATTGACAATTCTAAAAAAAAACACTATCCATGGCAACAATAGTAATGATAATAACTAAAAAATAATAATAATGATAATAGTATTAACAATAATAATAATAATAACAAAAAATAATGATAACAATAAATAATAATAACAATAACAATAATAATATTAATAACAATAACAATAACAATAATAATAATAATAATAATAATAATAATAATAATAATAATAATAATAATAATAATAATAATAATAATAATAATAATAATAATAATAATAATAATAATAATAATAATAATAATAATAATATAATAATAATATAAAATATTAATAATAATAACAATAATAATAACAATAACAATAATAATAATAACAACAATAACAATGATCACATAATAATAATAATAATGATAATAATAGTAATAATAATAATAATAATAATAATAATAATAATAATAATAATAATAATAATAATAATAATAATAATAATAATAATAATAATAATAATAATAATAATAATAATAATAATAATAATAATAATAACAATAATAACAATAATAACAATAATAATAATAATAATAATAATAATAATAATAATAATAATATTATTATTATTATTATTATTATTATTATTATTATTATATTATTATTATTATTATTATATTATTATTTTATTATTATATTATTATTATTATTATATTATTATAATAATAATACATTATTAATAATAACAAAACAACAATACTAATGAAAAGAATAACAATAATAAAAATACCAATGAAAATAATAATAATAATAATAATAATAATAATAATAATAATAATAATAATAACAACAATAACAATAACAATAACAATAACAATAATAACAATAACAATAACAATGATATATAATAATAATGATAATAATAATGATAATAATAATGATAATAATAATAATAATAATAATAATAATAATAATAATAATAATAATAATAATAATAATAATAATAATAATAATAATAATAATAATAATAATAATAATATAATAATATTATTATTATTAATTATTATCAATAATAATAACATTATTAATAATAACAAAACAACAATACTAATGAAAAGAATAACAATAATCAAAATAACAATGAAAATAATAATAATAATAATAATAATAATAATAATAATAATAATAATAATAATAATAATAATAATAATAATAATAATAATAATAATAATAAATAATAATAATAATAATAATAATAAATAATAATAATAATAATAATAATAATGCCACTAACAATAATATCAAGAAAAACAGTGCTCATGACACGAATGAAATGTGAAGCACACAAAACAAGTAAGAGATGCAACAAACACCACTTCAACTGGACTTCCTTGGGCAAGGGATACTGGCAAGAGCTGGTACATTCTAGTACACGATCATATTAAGCACAACCACTCCAGATACTTGATTGTACCAGGAAGGGGACATTTGTAGGATTTATTTTAGAAAAGATGCATTATTGTTGACAAATAATGAAGGCTGTCAAAAGATGATTCAGCAAAATAAATAGCTAACCTTTTCTTTGCAAAGTGGTATTTCTTCTAACCATAGAAAAATCAAGATAAAAACAAATAAAGTAATTTTCAAACATGAAAAAACATTCATGTGGTATTCAGTACACTCCATACAATTCAGAAAGTGAATTGTGATAAGAAAAATATCAATAACAGCAGCAATGATGATAATAACAATACAAGTACTGAAATAAACATAATAAAAATGAACAGCAAAAGCAAATACTCACAATTACACGTGAAGGCTAAGGGTTCCCTCTCCTTATAGTACACCGACAATTTTACACTCAGCCCAGGATCCACGGTTCCCTCGAGACATGCGCTGTGCAGGAGGCCTGGGTTGCCAATATGGTCATCCCAAGTGTACTCCCCTAAAGTGTTTGCAAAAGGGAAAAGAGACAGAATGAGATTGACAGTCTATAATATCATAATATACATTATGCTACTGCCTATTATCTATAATAATGATACCAGTGATTACTTTCTCATATAAAACACATTAAAGAACAGCAGAAACATATTACTATTTCTACAGTATTGTCAAAAAGGATGAAAAAAACTAACAGCTGAGTAATGTCATACTATCAATGGAAACATCAACGAGGAATCCTCACCTCTGCGCTTCTTGATGCAGTCCCAAAAAGCTCTGGCCTCATCATCAGCACTGAGGGCAGGAATCTTGAGAAGGCGAATTTGGCGTGTGCTTGATTTCCCATCCAGTACAACGCCAGATCTTTTCTGCAATGTAAGTGGATTTCTTGAGATTTCGTTTTCTGCTACAATACTCATAATGGGCTATATACTACTTAATCAATAGCTGACTGAATTCATCTATACAGACTCTGCACATCCATATGTTTATGAGTGTGTGTGGCTATGAATGCACACTAGAATATACGCATATGCATATGTATGTCTATAAGCATATGCGTGTGCAAAGAATATCATAGGCAAAATACATATTGGCTGAAGATATAGAGTATAGTAAATATAAGAGATAGATAAAATGTGACAGGGATTTATAAAGAAGTAAATGTAACTAGAAAACACTCAAGGACATATACACCCAAATAAACAGTTTCAAGATAGATAAATCACAAACAAAAAATATATCCCCATATACAGATCCAGTTCACTACAAAAATCCAAGCAATTAGTCCTTTGGCCACAGCTAAGCAACCCATGATTTTTCTGTGCAATCTGTTTGTAGCTTTTCGTACCAGCCTACTCACAATTCAGGGAACCAATTACCTAACCAATAGTTATTGCAGAAAATAATAATCTCCTTTTTTCCAAAGCTGAATAAAATTACAGACTCAGACAAATGGCAAGTCTATTCAGAGATATACACAAAAGATATAATTGAGAAGAAAGAAAAAATAAATAAATAAATAAATTTACCAACATCACTTCAAATATCAAGGAACATTTAAAACAAACATATAAATAGATGGATAGATAGATAACTGAAGACAGACAGACAGACAGATATAGAAAAATATGGACATGTATATGGATGAATAGATATTGAGTAACATACAGATAAACATTTAGATAAGGATTTAAATAAAAGAAGACATCTGCATATAATATGACATATACTCATAGACAGAATATAATTATAGACAGACAGATAAAGAAAGAAACTTTTAAAAATCAACAAACAAGTAATTGATTCATGGAGGAATACTGGATCATAAAAGCGATAAGGCAGTGAAATTAGCAGATAGCAGTAGATAAGAGAAGCCCTACAGATTACATATTACAAAAGGATTCACACAGTAG